TTTTTTTTTCCTCCTTTCTTGGACAGTAGGGACCTGCCAGTACCTACCTATGGCAATCCCTACTGACGGCCAACTCACTCACTCCCTCTCACTCTTTTTGTTTTATTCTCCCACATTTTCTTTTCTTTTCTCTCTTTTTTCTAGCATGCCAAGTGTCAAGTGGCCGTTAAGGCCCTTTTCTAGTCTCTTCCTCTTAATTTTGGCCCTCCCTATGCCCAAGGTGCAGTCCGTTATTTCTCGGACTGCAATAATGGTCTTCCCATACTCATGGGAGCCTCCTTTTACTCCTACATTTCTCCCACAATGGTCCCTCCTACTCCGATTTTCTCCCGGAGGGCTATTTTTCACATGGGGTCTCATTTGACTCTATTTTCTTGAGGGAGGCTGATCCGAGATTTTTCGGATTGCTCCCATGCCTCCCACTTCAGTTTTCTTTATTTTTTCTTTTCCTTTTGGTCTTCCCGTTTGTCATCACTAGTACTTGCAGTAGTGGTGTTAATATTCTTGGTCGTCAAGATGTCGATCTTGACAGTGCACCTTTCATTTATTATTTTTCCTTCGTGTGGTGCCGCCGTTTCTTCTTGGGACGTTCACATGTCCCCGCTACTTGTCCCGTTGGTGGTCCCCGACACTTTAGTCCCGTCGGTGGTCCCCGACACTTAGTCCCGTCGGCGGTCCCCGACACTTAGTCCCGTCGGCGGTCCCCGACACTTAGTCCCATCGGCGGTCCCCGACACATTTCGCCCCGGACGCCATTATTTTTACTTAGTCCCACATGGCTCCGGGTGCCTTTCCCCGAGGTGTCCCATGCCCCTTGGGCATCTTGTCGCCCCATAGCGACCCCTCTCCTTAGTCTTTCCTCGCACCTTGTGCGTGCCGATCTCTTTGGTCGTGGGCCTCAGCTCCGAGGCTCCCAAAGGTGGCCCCCACGTTGGCCCCTCATTTTTTGGCTTCCCACGACTTATGGCCGCTCATCCCTCGAATTTATCATTCCCTTATTGTTGTCGCGCTGCAATTGCTAGTTCAAACGCCCCTTTGGCCTTAGTCTTATTGCATTATGATGGCCCTCCCGGCCTCCTGCTATGTTCTATGTGCCCCTGTTCTTGCGCTCGCTTGCTTGCCGCTGCTAGTTCTTTCCTCCTGTGGTTCTTTCCTTAGGGCATCACTCCCTTCTGCGGCCTAATCCTTTGTTTTTTTCTCTCTCCTGCTTCCTCACTCCAGATTTCTCTGTTGTGCACAAATTGTCCGTATTCAATCTCTCGAGTGTAGGGAAGTTATTCGGGACCCACCAGTCCCGACACCGGCCCGCCTGCTGGGCCGTGGATCCGAATCTGCCGTGCACGGTTCCTCGGACACTCGTCAATTTTGAACCCGGGCGGACTTCGAATTCGATAAAATGCGAAGTCCGCTGGGATCCGAACTTCTCGTGCACGGTTCCTCGTGCGGCCGTCAAGTTCAGACACAGGCGTACTTCAAATCCCTCGTGGTGTGGGTTCTGACTGTGGAGTTTCTAGCGCCCCGTGGATTGCCACAACTTTGGATTCGTAAAAATGTCATGTCCGCCGAGATCCGAACTTCAAAAAAGTTCAAGATGACGAGTTTTAGAGACACCTTTGTCTCTCCCACGAAGTCTCGCCAAGTTCGGATCACGGCGGACATGACGTTCCCGCCTCTCGTGGGACATGTTTGTGGCTGGTCTACTGGCCGGTAGAAGTGAACACCAACCAAGTCGACCACCCGGATTCTGATCTTCGAGCGTGCGGTCCGTCTAATGCCATAGGTCGCAGATCGCGGAACACGACGTGTTTACGAGTGTCTCCGTGCCCGTGTGTCTCGTTTAGTATGTGCGCGTGGTGTGTAGGGTGCGTAATAGAGACGACCTTCTCGACACCACGAATCATGGAGTCGATGTTCTCGACACCACAGACCATGAGTCCCGAGACGGACTTTCGCTTGGCAGAACCGTTTCGTCCTTGCGCGAGATCCGTGCGGTATTTCAACGGTGTGACTACGATCCACGGAGCGACCGCAGAGGACTTCGACGAGGACCCCTGGATGACCGTCATCCCGTGCATGGGACTGCATATTGACAAGTGGTGCGATGGGAATTGGTCACGATGGAGAGTCATTGTCCCTGGGCGAGCCAATACAAGTCCGCCAACATGTTGGAGTTCGGGAACCTCATTCCGGTGTCTGACGCTATCCTCGGACACAAGTTCCTGACCCATATGCGCAGAGCACTTGGCTGCATTAGCCGCCATTTCAGCTGCCTCGAGTGCCACTACGTCAGGTCGTCGCCACGAACTTGGGGAGGCTCGCAGGAACAAGAATTGGTGGACTGCGCTCGTCACTGCTCGTTCCTGAAGCAATACCCGCTCTAGTGCCCCGGGAATTCTCCACAAGCTGTGTCATATTGTTGTGTGCGATTGACTGTGTCGGGGACTGATTATGCCAGAGTTCTATGTATCGCTGCTTCGAACAAGAGCAGGAACCTCGTAGATGCAGTTGTGCTTGTGTCACGGAACAAGGTGGTGATTGAGGGGTCCAAATTTGTGCGGACGCGTGGGCATGTACGTCTAGATGGGTGGCGCGATTTGGTGATAGTAGGGCGGGTCCAAAACTTTTCGTTGCATCGTGAGGTCGAGGAGAAAGTGTCCGACATACGGGACTGTATGGGGAATTCCTTAGCACGACCGGGATTTTTTGTTAGGATGAAATACATGTCCGTCTTTTCGGAGAGGGCATCGGTAGACGAACCGCAGATCCACTCATACGGATCATCAATGAATGCTTTGTATGGCTTCGGTTCACGACGTCGTCCCAGGGGAACCCCGAATGTCGGCTCATCTGAACTAGTAGTCAGACCTGGTGTTTAAGCGAAAAGAAGGGAGAGGTATGAGATGTCGTTTTGTTGCCTACAATATTAGATGTGTAGCGGTGGAGGGAGGTGTGAGAGGCAACAGTTGCTAGTAGACGCTACACCGCGCACTTGTCGTGCAAATCCCTAATCGTCGATCATTTCAACAACCGCCGAAAATCATGTTGGAGGTCTATCTCTAACGTCATCTCCTTCCATGCCGCGCCCCGACGAAGTTCGGATCCCGGCGAACTTCGCATTTTGGAATGTGCGTTGGTTTGTCTTTCGTACTGCTGGCGTCGGGCGGATCGCAAGAACCGTCGGGCACCACAAGCACGGTCTTGCTTGAGGCCGCGGCCTTCGAAAAGTTTGAACGACCAATTACGCCCGCCAACGTTCGCGATCTAAGACCACCGCCAACCGAACTTCATCAACACTATCCGTGTTCGGTTGTTGCCCGACCACCATCGACATGTGTCAAACAGTCGATCATTGTCGTTGCGAAATGCCAAAAGCATTCTTAGGGATCCCAGTCGCGAAATGCCAAAAGCACTCTTAGGGATCCCAGGTTCGAATGAGCGCAGGGTCGCGCGGGCTTGGCGTTTACTGAAACCCGTTAGATATCCCGGTTTGCGGACCCTCTTGTTGCATCTGGATATGTTTTGAGCATAGACGGACTCAATGGCTACTGCCATCAAAACCTACGGTCAGCTGTGAGACCCAGGGTTCTCCCACCATAACCTTGCTCGGACCCCAACTTCCGTCCAAGCTCAAACGTGATCCAGTGTTTATCTCTGTGTATCTTTCTCGCGTCGTCCTGAAGTTCGGATCCTGGCGAACTTCCTGTGACGCATGTCTATTGGACAGCGACTGGTCTTCTAGATCCCCCATGGATTGCGACAATAGCTCCTCTCCGTCCTGTTCCGCACGTGTCGTTCTGTCCCGCCAGGGACCCATACAATGTTGTCACGGCTGCTGCGCATATCAGAAGAAGTTCGGATTTCGGCGAACTTGTCCTTCTCAACCGGCCTCTCATTTCTGTGTGGCATTTCCAGGTCGCGGTTGAGTGCACGGACCGTGTGTCTCTGACGTCGTCTCTGCCTGTCGCATCGTCCTGAAGTTCGGATCCCGGCGAACTTCACTTTTCGGGAGGTGCGTTGGTTTGTCTTCGGACATGCCCATCCGGTGGTTCGCACAACCCGCCCGGCGACCGGGAGAGTCCTACTCCGACTTCTGGTTTTGATCAAATGCAGTTGCGGAGTATGTTCGCTCGAGCCCGGTTCTGGAACGCTGGCTACATGGGCTGGTTGTTTCTCTCTTTCTGTCGCACTGTCTTTTAGTCGGGACCCTGGCTGACTTCGCGTGCTAGCCTGTCCGGGTTTCGAGTGCTAAGCGGAGGACACCGCCCCGTCCAACGCAAGTTTCGCACATGAACTCCCGTTCATCCCCCATGTGGTCGGCATTTGTATTTCGGAAATACCGATGTGGTTGTCTCCGGCCGCATGATGTGTGTCCCTTTTTAAAGATTGATCTCGTTGCAGGTAACAGGTCATTAAAGGTCTTCGCGTCCAAAGTTCGTCGGAATCCGAACTTCAAGGTCCCGGAACGGTTGGCCGCAATGTTTGTCGCCCGTGTTTTTTGCCTGCGTTGTGTTTTGTCTGCGACATGACGCTCTTTGGTGGTTCATTTGTTTTCCGTTGTCGTCCGCAGACAAGATGTCTTCATCGAGGGGCGAGGGGGAGCCTGCAGCGACCTCCGGGATGGGATCAGGGAAAGATTCCACAAAACGTTCGTCTACGACCTCGAGGTCGTGGTCGGACCACGCAAGGTCGAAATGGTTCGTCGACTGGTGCTATGGTGATGCTTCGAACCCAGTTCAACAGCCGTGTGGTCCTGTGATCTTCGTCGAAGCCAACAAGCGCCGCACGGTTCTGGGGGCTGTCTTGCAGTGGGAGAATGCGAAAGGCAGTCGTCGGCGGTTCTACATGAGAAATGTGTAGGGTTCCAAGGGGAACGTCGTTGCCGGTGCCAAGGGGGCGGTTCTTGACATGTGTCTGTTCGAGGGGTTCGGAGCGGGTGCTGCGAACACCCCGTTTTACAACGACCTCCGGCGGCAGGGCGGGTTTGTTTTGGGTCGAGAGTTCTTCGACTTGTTGGAGGACAAGGACATCGCCCTCGACGTCCCTTGCGAAGTCGGCCCCGACCTGGAAATGTCAACGCCTTTGCAACTGTGCGGCGGTTGTGAGTCGAGCGGGGCAGCAGGGGAGGGGGGGGATCTGGGTTCCGGCGAGGCTACACATGTGCAGCGGGAGGATGCCAGAGGTCAGTTTGACGACAGCGAAGATGAGGCGACACCGCGTCCGCCGTTTTCGGCGTCGAGGGAAAGAGACCGGTCTGTGTTGTCCATACTTGGGGTCCGACAAGAGGTCGCGGCGGATCCCGGAGAAGAGGCAGTCCAGTGTGGGTCCGACTTGGAGCCCGGTGAGGGCCATGGCGTGGACGACAAGGCCGTGGGCGGTAAGGGAGTGGAGGGGACTCCCCAAAAAAGGAGGGAAGATTGTCAAGAGGACGTGGTAGGCTCTTTGAAGAAACAGAAGACGAGGACCCCGAAGACTACGGGAGAGAAACGGAAGGGAAGGGGGGTGGAAGAGGACCACCCGGGTAGCAAACGTCCGGCGTCAAAACAGAAACAGCCCGCGTCAGGACCTTCCACGACAAGGCCTGCCATCGACGTGGACGCCGGGTACTTCCTGGAGTACAAAGACGGCGTCAGGACAAGGCGGGAGTTTGAGATTAGCCCGGCTCAGATCGTCGACCTCAGGGAGTGGGAGGATCTCTACAACCAGCGATCGCTGGATCCTGTCCTCGTGGGAATGATAAAAGAAGCAATGCGGTATGCGTTCGAAAATAAAGAGCAGACGTACGAGTTGCCGTTCTTCAAGCTCGCACCACTAGGGCTTCAAAAACCAACACCCGGGATCAAGGCTCAACGTCTGAACCCGGAGAAGTGGAAGGATGAGTTGGCGGGAGAATACTACTACTACGCGGTGTGCGGACAGCATAACGCGGCTGCAGCCCGGTCGCTGCTTGGGAGCGAGGTGGCCAAGAAGTACAATTTCGAGTGGTGGCCGGCGCGAATGCTTTACTTTTCGAACGACGACTTCGAAGGGTATTTTCTTCTTAGTTCACAGGACAACAAGAAGGACCTGAAGACGCCTCCCAGACAGTTGAAGCTGTCTATGATAGACATTCGGTGGCAGTGGAAGCATGACGGCTGCCCGAGAGCTGTGACGGGGAACCCTAGCGGGAAACAAGATCAGGTCCAGGCTTGGCGTAAGTTTTGTACAACGGCGCTCCATAAGGCGCCTCACAACAGCTTGTGGATTCTCGCGGATCAAAAGGAAGAGGAGGCCGTTAAGAAGCAAAATGCTGCTCTGCGTTCTTATTTCCCTCTCGCGATGGCCGGAGAAAATGTATGGAAACTGACCGTGGAATTTTTCGAAAAATGGGAGACGGGTAGATTGCTGAGCCACGACGGAGCGAAGTGGATCGTGAAAAAGAAGAAGGTCAAAAACGTTAAGCCTGGGGTCGCCTACATCCACAACGACAAGTTGGGCAGAACTGAGGTGGTGTACAACGTCCCCGTGGACCCACCGAATAAGAAAGGCAAAAAGGAGAAAGAGGAGGGCGATTGGTTCGTGCAAGTGCCCGCCCTGAACGCGCATTGTTGGAAAGCAATGGAATCACTCGCGGACAATTAGAAGTGTCGCGTTCTTACGAAGGTGCTTGCTTGCAAGGTCGTTTGGGTCCAGGCCGGCTCCCCGTCGTTGGCGAAGTTAGGAAAGCTCAGCGTGCAGGACATGGTGCAGCTGGTGAAGTGCGACCGCGTGCTGGTCCGGTTGTGGAATTACTACCAATTCAAACACGAGAAGAGGCCAAACGTGGATTAGATCCAAAGGTACCCTTTCCTGAAATTGAGGTCTGCAGTGTTTAGGAAGTTTGAAAGTCAGGGATTGGATGACGAGTTGTGGGATAACAGCAGGAAACACGTTTCCGACTCGGCGCTGTTCAAGGACTGCCCGCCGTACATGGGTTGCGACCAGGACAACTCGATTGAGGTGACGGAGAAGTTGGCGGGACACAAGAAGTTGTCCGTCGACTGGAGAAACAAGATTCTCTCCGTGTTGAATGGAAGCAGACTGAAGAGTCGGAAGGTCGCCCTTGCCGAAGGCATTGTTCACATTAAATGGAAAGACACGGGGGTGACATCCATTGCGTCGTTCGCTAACAACCCTTTAGAGGCGGACATGAGGGGCGCAGAGCTGAAGGCAGCAGTGGCTGCCACCAAGAGCCACACGTTCGTCCTCGATCTGTGCGAGCCGGTTGACCTCAAACTGTGGAAGGCCCAAGCGTGGGAGACATTGGATTCCTATCTTCAGACGTGGTGTCCATCGCATTGGACTCTCCTTGTTTTCGTGTCGCGGTAGCACAACCTCACGTTTCTCCCCCACTTGCACCATCTTTCTTTTGTCAAGCTGTTGGAAGGGGTGTGGGTGAGGAGAGTTCGGCAAAAGAAAAGCTTCCCCGTTGGGAACAATTTGTACACGGAGGAAGACCGCATATACATCCTCTTCAAGGGTGACGATCTGCGCATCAACACGTCCGTAGTCTACGAGGGAAACCTGCCCAGAGGTGCCGCTGCTGCGGTGCAATTGCCTCAGAGGGTCACCCAGACGGATGTGTCCGAGATTCCCTTTGTGCCTTGCGATTGGTCGCTGGTGGCGCCGGAATGACAGGGCAGTGTCTACGGGGATATGAAACGCAATCCGATACAATTCGTCGGTCTTCTTGATTTCCTTGGCAAGAAGGGAGAGGGTGTCGTGTTCCTTGGGAAACCGCACGCGCGAAGCGTCTGGGATCTTCTGAAGGCCGGTCGGCACGTTGTCGCGATGAAAGGGAACGCCGAGCTCTTGCAATTCACGATGCAGGTGGTGAAAAGCGAGGTCAATTCGGGCGGGCACAATTGTGAGTTCATGGTCGTGAAGCCAACACGGGATAAGGTGGGGAGCAACAAGACGGATATGTGGTTCAAGTTGAGCAAGAGGAAGAGGAACAAGATATACGATTTCTTGTTCCTTCAAACGCGGCCGAGGAAGGACTCTGACGCCGAGTACGTCCGCTAGAAGGACCACATGTTCGCACTACTCGACAACTACCATTTTGCCTCCTGCATGAACGTGAAGATGTTTCTCGATAGGCTGCAGTCGCTGTACTTCGTGGAGTCCGAGGAGCAGTTGAAGTTAGTCAGTTACGCTTCCCTGATTTCCACTAATAACGAGGAAGCCTCAAGTGTGGAGTTCGTCGTCAACGCGAAGGAGGAGGAGAGCGACACAGAGAGCATTAATCTGCAGTACGACCCACCTCTGGTGGACCATGGCAGAGGGTCGTTGTCGGCCGGTCCGTCACCGAGCGCTGCAGCCCTCGTGTCACCGTCCGCCAAACCGCCGTCAGGCACCACGCGGATGAAGTTGATGGAGAGACTCAGAGCTCTGGCCGTCCCCCCGCCCGCCTTGCGTCCCGGGTCCGACATCCCGCCCGATCATCCATCTTGGCAGGATGACTACATCCACTTCCTGCTTGAGCCACAACGTCATTCGCCTGAGCTGGAATGAGTCCATGACATGGTGTGGCATCCGGGAGTCATCCAGCCAGCGATACGAAAGGGCGAGTGGGTCATGGCCGTCTCAATCTCGGGCGAGGGATGGGCGTCATTCCCGCGCGAGTCGAAGTCCAACTTCCTGCACCTCGCGAGGATTTCGGTCCTCCAGAAAGTGACGGCCGAGAATGACACCTTTGCACCCGCAACCTGTCCCTCATTTCCACAGCCGGTCGACTGTTCGACGAGCTTCAGGACAAGTGTTGGTTGGAATTGACGGAGGACTACTACGACCTCGACACGAGTCCGTCGAAGGGCATGGTGGACTAGAAAGTGCCCCCTCCCAGTGGCCCGGACGGTAGTTCCGGGGGGGGGGCACCTGGAAGTGGAGGGGATGGGGGTGGTGGCACGGGGGGTGGAAAAGGAATCCCGACTAGTGGGGAGAGGGGGTCTCACGGCCGCAACACGACAGCGGGAGGCAGCGGCGGGGTGGCGGGTTTCGCCGTCGACCGGCCTCCGTCGACAGGCACCTGGCCGGATCATACGACACAGTGTGCCGACCTCCCGACTTCGTCCGTGGGCTCAGCGAGGGACACGTTGGCAGCTTTGCTTGCTCTGGAAAGTCACTCCGGCGGAAAGTTGAAGTCTGTCGGGATCCGAACTACGTCCGCTGAGGAGCCCCCAGAGCGGTCCGGAATGCAAAGTCGCTCGGGGTCGGGGGAGCCAAGCAAGGATCCTGAAATTGGCAGCATTGCGGCGCGGGACGGAAACGTGGGAAAGGTGTCGCCTGAGCAGGAGCGACGGCCGCAAGGATTGCAGCGAGAGGCTGCAAGTACAGGGTCCGGCGACACAGAGACGACGAAGTCCGCCGAGATCCGAACTTCTTCGGGCGGGGGGTGTCGGCCAGGGATTGTCGTGTCGTTGAGAGGGGCAGCGTGCATGGAGATGGAAGGGCGGTCCTCAGGATTCAACACGGGTACCGCGGAAGGGGATGAGTTTCGTGGAAGGGAAGTAGGGAAGAAAATGGAGGAACGGAGGGGAGCGCTAGAAGGGGAGGAAGAAGGGGAGAAAGAAGGGGAGGAAGAGGAGGAAGGGGAGGAAGCGGGAGAAACGGAGGTACTTAATTTGCTTGAAGGAAGGGAGGGTGCCGGATCTGGAGACGACGAGGTGGAGCACAGTGAGGACGATGCCGGATCTGGAAAGTCGTCTGACGAGTTCGGACAACTGTAAGGAGAGCATCACGAGGATGATGTCGACGACGATGCCACGGCAATAGATATGGAGACACAGGTTGTTAGCAGCCTTTTCGGACAGCCTGAAGATTATGCGGTCCGACCACTGATGTCTGCTGTCGACTCGCAACACCGCTTCGGCGAGGCTTCCATCGCTATCAGCTCGTCTAGAACAAGTCGGCGTATAAGCATCAACGAAGTTATCGACGGTATCCTCGGTGACCATAACGTGTCTGCCCGTCCGTCCACAACGCCTGACATCGACGAAACTGGCAACGTCACGTCTCCCGTTGCAGCTGCCCTCGCTTCGTCGCCGCCGAAATCGCTGGTCCTGTCGGCCACCCTTGCCGCCGGAGAGGAAGGCGAGGTCGAGGGACGACAACATGTCACGTCCCCAAAAAAATTGAGGGTCGGCGGCCAAGTTCTCGACGTGCTTGCTTTGCCCGCACCAAATTCCCCATCGAAGGAGCAGAGAGAGAAACAGATTGGTAAGCCGTGAAGAACGCCACACTGCCTGCGCGTCCGGATGTCGTCGGATTACAGTCCACGCTGTGCACACGACAATTGTCCACACTTTCTGTCGATACGGGAAGTTCCGGATGCCGCCATACTACAGCCACCGGCCCTTCCTAATACATCTCGTCGGCTTATCTGTCACTCGCCCGGGTTGCTGGTCGAGGGCGGCGAAAAGTTCCTCGACAAACTTACATTCCATCCAAGGAAGGATCTGCCCCGGCTGAGGAAGTGGCCAAGGGGCTAAGGAAGTGGCCAAGTACATGGACTAACAGTTTTCCCTTCTCGGGAATAGTGTCGGTTTTAGTCCGTCGGGATCCGAAATTCCTTTGTCGATGCGTGATGTGGTCAGTCTCAGTGGGGCTGGTGTGTTAAAAAGTCCGTCGCAGTCCGAACTTCGGGGACTACTGGCCTTTGGCTTCTGTGAGTTGTGGTGGTTTTCCTTTGCGAAGTGGGGGGGTGTTAAGCTAGAATGTTGCAGTCGTTTTGTTTTCCAGTATCACAACCGCACCTGGGTGTACATGACCACGTGAAATCAGGGTCCTATGGTCGGAGAGGTCCTGCTTGACTGTTGCGTCTGTGTGATTGTATGGTTCTTATTTTCCGTTGTGTCTTTCTTCTATTGTACAGGGGTGGGGTTGTCTCGAACACGGAGGTCCTCCAAATATCCTGAGCACATATTGCAGAAAGTCCCCGGGTTGACTACAAAACACAAGGATATGTTAAAGGCATCAGGGGTTGATGTCGAGATCGGGAAGAAGGAGTACAACGTCGCCATTGAGAAATGTCTTTCCCTTCTTGCCCTAGAGAAAGGGACATATCCACGATCTATGAGTAGGGGTCAGGCCATGTATGAGAAATACTTAGCAACGCGTCATGCTTCAGGGCACAATGCCTAGAACTCCGTTTCTCACTACCCCACGTGTCCTTTGCTCGATGTTGTGCAGTGCGGGCCGCAAGTGCAGCACGCGGGAAAAGTTTCGCTACAACGATTGAGCCTCTTAGCTTGCGGGTTCTGGACGACATTTTACGAATTCGGTGCTGTCTCACACTGTTCTCTCTATGCTGTGCGATGACCAGTTTCGGATTGTAGCAAAAGATTTTCTCACCCTGCTGCATGTCGACGGCAGGGTGAATGATGAGGTGGTCAATTTCTATATGGCGTTGTTGGGGTCAACCGCATGTGTGTCATGTGACATCTCGCCGGGCCTTCAAGTCTTCAGCTTTAATTCGTTCTTCTTGAGTAAATTGCGACTTCAAGGACACGGTGGGCTGCGGAGGTGGGCTAGAAACGTCGATTTGTTTCGTTACGATATTGTCTTTGTTCCTGTCCACAAAGATGATAGTCACTGGATCCTCCTTTCTGTCAACATGAGAGATGATTTTCTCGAAATTTTTGATTCTTTTCCTCGCGTTGTATCTGATTCTAGTTTTTACCTTTTTGTTTTCCGGTTGATTGTGCAGTATTTGGAACGTCAAACATCACATAGGCGGTCGGGTAGGAGTTGGAAGTCGATAGTGGGAAATATTGTGGTGGATGGAGTTCCGAGACAAGTGGATGGAGCAAGTTGTGGGGTGTTCATGTTGATGTATGCGACGTTGTTGCATTGTGGAGATCGACCGCCTTTCCAGTTCTCTTATAAAGATATTCCGCTTCTTAGACGACAATTAGCATCATGTATCTTAGAACATCGTTGTCTTTGATGGATTTGATTAACTAAAACTCTTTTCTTAAGGTGTTTTATTCGTTGTTCATTGAATTCTGTAAATCGATACATTATCTTCTAAAGATATTCCGCTTTTTACACGACAATTAGCATCATATTTCTTAAAACATCGTTGTCTTTGATCGATTTGATTGACTTGGAAACTCTTTTCTTAAGGTGTTTCATTCGTTGTTCATTGAATTTTGTAAATCGAGACATTATTCACTGTCTTTCTGCCAAAGACATTGCTTTCTTTTGTCGTTCCGAGTTTGGATTGTCTACAACAAGCTCATTGCATGTCCTACGTCATGTATGGGTTTTGTGATCTCTGTCACGTCGCAGTCGTTTTTAATGCAGCGGAACATGTCATACGTTATGTTCCATGTTTCGAATTTCGTTCCACTACAAGTATGTTGTTCCATGTTTCGAGAGGGAAGTGTAAACATGATTGTGAAACTAATTGGTGGATGCATGAGAAATGTCATCTTATGAGAAAGTGGTCAGTGGATGCCCAAACCTTCTTTGCATTACCATTTAAACTGCGGATATTCATCGTGAATGAGCACAATTTTAAGTTCTACACTTGTGCATAGAATATCGAAAAAAAATGTTTATTAAAATGCACCTTGCCCATCACAACTGTAAACAAGTGTGTTCCTCAGTGCCCTCATGTCAGGCGAGATGATGACCATGGCTTTATGCGAAAGTCTGAATCTCTTCAACATCCAAACAATCATCTCGGGTGAGACGATGGGTGTGCTTGCATAACTTATGGATAACCTGGTAAACGAAAATTTGATGTGTTGACCAACAGCAGTTCGATCATGACATCTTGCTCATCACATACGTAAGCTTTGAGTTTAACAAGTGTGGATCTCGGCACACTCCCGCCCATTATCAGGGTCACAAGTCTTCTAAACAAGTCTGGATCTCATCATACATCTAAACAACCGTCTTCAGCAAGACGATGAACCTGCATGTGTAACTCTGGGATAACCGAAAGAATTATATTGAGTCTCTCCAATTCAATTTGATTACATTGTTAATTTTGCTTACAAAGTTCAACAACTATGGATGTCAGCAAACTTTCGTATTTGGGCCGAGTGGATGGGCACGCCTATGTGGAAACGCTGCAGTAAAAAACGATTTCGTAAGAAAGAGGACAGTGTCACAATATAATATCTTTCATCACATTTATGAAATTGAAGTTTGACAAGTAAGGATCCCGGCACACTTCCGCACAGGGTTCCCTGTGTGGCGTGCCAATCGTTATTCGTTTACGAAGTTTGAGTAGTATGGATCCCAACACACTTCCCCGCAGGATCACCAGCACGTTTTTGAAGTTCAACAAGGATCCCAACACACTTCCGCACAGGGTTCGCGGGTGGCGTGCCTAACATGTGTGGGTCTCTACACGCTTTCGTATTTGGGATTTCAGTTATAAAGTTTCACAAGTGCGGATCTCAGCACTCTTCTGCATGTGGTTAAGCCCTGGATGGGCATGCCTACGTTGCTTAGGCTGCAGCCACAAATGAATTCGTTGAAAAGAGGACACAGTATAATGTCCTATTTTAACGAATAACATGTTACATCTCCCCCAGCCCCAGAATAGAGCATCCCCCAAAATTTGCCCCGTCTCCTTTCAGGGTAATCACCTCCCTCCTTGTGAAGCTGTTGCAGAGTAGAGCCCTCCCCCAACCCACCCCCTCACCAGAAGTAATTTGTTTACACTAAAGATGAGAAACATAATTCCAAATGTTGTTGTAGATTATTCCCCCCCCTCCTTTACATCTCCCCCTATCCCTCCGCTGCCTCCACCGAAAAGGACTGCCATGATCACAAGCTCTCCTTATCATCCCCAACTTGGGTTATACCTACTTCTTCCCCCTACTTCCACTAAGGCATCCAGTTCCACCCAAAGTATGCCTAAGCCACCCCCTCACCCCTATCTGCCTCCGTTGGGATATGATGCCAGCTCATACATCTCTTTCAGCCCCAGAATAGGGCAACCCCCAAAAATCTGCCCCCACTCCCTCCAGGGCATTTCACCCCCCACTTTGTGAAGCCCCTGCGGAGTAGAGCTCTCCTCCTTAAAACCCCAACCCCCCACCCACACAAAAATAATTCACTAATGCGCCCGAAAGGGAACCAGAAATTAATAGTGGAGAAAAAAAAAAACGAGCCTCAAGAGTTTTAGGAACTTTAATTCCTAAGATATGAGTGGAAGAATAGGAAATTTTTGAGAATTATGATGAAGAAAGGAAGATAAGAGTTTTCTCTTTTTGGATTTCCTGATGATGATGAACAACATCCTGAAGATGATGATGATGAAGATGATGATAACAACCAACTCACCTGCTGATGTGAAAGGCAAACAAGGCCTTGAAAAGCGGCATCTAATGATAGCAAAATGATGATGATGATGATAGTAATGATGAAAATGAAGACAGAATGATGTTGCTGATCATACTGAAGAACAGTACCAACATCTCCCTATGATTACAAATTGATGATGGTGATGATGATGATGATGATGTTGATGATGATGATGATGATGATGATGATGATGATGATGATGATGTCAATGATGATGATGATGGTGATGATGATGATGATGATGCACCACGCCCTGTGATGACGAAAGGATGATGATGGTGCTAATGACGAGCACCTTGGATAATAGCCTAGTGATGATGATGGTGAGCAGCGCCCTATGACGACGAGCTTCGCGAACAGCGCCTTATGATGGTGAACTATTGATGATGGTAATGATACTGGCGTAATGACAATGATATGATGATAACGAGCAACCCCAGCGGCGCCCTATCAAGACACAATGATGATGATGATATGACGCCACCCATGCCTTGATGTTGATGACGAGCGGCACCCTGATGATGATGATAGTGATGGCACCTGATGTTGATGACGAACCA